TTTAATTTGTATATAAATGTTATACAAATATTTTTATTAAAATTGATATTTTTATAAAATATATTTAATAAGATTAAGTTTATTTATATTGAGTTAATTGTATAAATGTTAATTATGTTTTTTAAATATACCTATAAGAGTTAAAATATGTCTTTTTGGACGTGGAGAGGCGATAAAAAATAGGTCCAAATAGGTTCTTTTTATAGTGATCAATGAGCAAACAATCTTTTTTGTAGAACTTCTACATAATTGTTTAGTCGTCAACAACATGATTTTTTTGTATATGATTTACAACAGCTAATGAAGTATTATTTCTTTCATCCATTGTTTTCGCCATTTGTTACTACTTCTGACTTGATTTTATTTCTTGTGTTAATGCCTCAAGAACTTTAATAAAGTTAATCGATCAGTTAAAACTTAACGTAAACAAAAAAGTAAATTGTGAGTATGCGCTTGCTTGATCACCCATAACACTTTTCCTATGATTCCTCGTGCAATAAGAATTTATAAACAAACTTTGTTGTTTACTAGCTAGGTAAGAGGTTGGAAGAGATTCAAGGTTGAACTCGTCTTTCGTCAACCTTTTTCATTCTTTATGGACTGAGCGGCAGGGGTTCATGAATGAATTGGTCCTTCATCGCCCGTCGATGTTGGCAAGGGTTCACGGATAAACTCATCCTTCACCAACCTCTTTCGTTCATTCTTTAGACCAAGCGACGGGGTTCACATATGAACTCGTCCTTTACTGACTCAGCGAGCTTGGCAGGGGTTCATGAATGAACTCATCCTTTACCAACCTCTTTCGTTCATTCTTTGGACCCGAGCAACAGGGGTTCACGGATGAACTCATCTTTCACTAACCTCTTTTGTTCATTCTTTGAATCGAGGGATAGGGGTTCATGGATGAACTCATCCTTCACGAGCACAACGAGGTTGGTAGAGATTCACAGATGAACTCATCATTCACTAACCTTTTTCGTTTGTTCTTTGGATCGAATGACAGGGGTTCACGAAAGAACTCATCCTTCATCCACTTGACGAGGTTGGTAAGGGTTCACAGATGAACTCATCTTTCACCAACCTCTTTTGTTCGTTCTTTGGACCGAGCAATAAGGATTCACGAATGAAATTTTCCTTCACCTGCTCGGCGAGGTTGGTAGGGTTCACGACTGAACTCATCCTTCACCAACCTCTTTCATTTCATTCAGTTTACAGTTGAACACATTTTGTTGGACAATCCTCCTTGTAGTAATGATTGTAGAACATACAAATACTTTCTACAATAGCTCAGCTAAAATAAAACTTCCTGCTCAGGTGCTCTAGTCAATATGTTTCGCTCTTCAGATCATTAACAATTTTGGCAGTCCTTCTTAGTTTGCTATGAGCTTTTAGTGTGCTGGCTTTTTGCATGTTTCGTAAGTCTTCTTCCACACTAAGCTGCCCTCGTTGAAGCTCATAGGCTAAACCTTATTGTTGCACCTTTGCACAATCGCCCTTTTATAGGCCTTTTCTTGCACGACTGCCACTTCCCTACACTCCTAAAGAGTGTTCAACTTCACTCTTAACTGTTCGTCGTTATGGTCCATGTCTTGGACCTTTGTCCTAAGCGAGGATTCACTTATCTCCATAGGCAACATGACATCAGTAACATATATGAGGTTAAAAAGTGTTTGTCTCGTGATATCGTGCAGTGAGCACTGATAGGCTCACAAAATCTCAGGCAACTCGTCCAACTCCGAATGTACACTTAGAGGGGTTCAATCGCATGTTGTAGCGCCTGATTTGATCAAATAACTTTTCAAGTCTATAATATGTTCCTCGATTGATTAAGATTTTACCACCATGTCATCAACATATACATCCATGTACCGACCGATCTGGTGGTGAAAGATCTTGTCCATCAACCACTCGTAGGTGGCCCTAGCGTTCTTCAAGCTGAACGACATAACTTCATAACAGTAGTTCACTCGTTCGATGATGAAGGTCGTCTTGTTTTAGTCCAAGGGTGCATAGGTATTTTATTGTACCCAGAGTACGCATCTAGAAAGTTTATGATTTGGTGACTTGACGCGTCATCCACCAAGTAATCGATGTTGGGGAGAGGATAAGCATCCTTTGGATAGGCCTTATTAAGATCAGTGAAGTCTATGCATATCCTCCATTGACTGCTTAACTTTTAGACCATGAGCATATTCACGAGCCACATGATGTAAGTGACCTCCCAAATAAAGCTTGCTTCTTGTAGCTTCTTGACTTTGCCTCCACGACCTTTGTTTCTCCTCGCCTAGGCGACGTTTCTTCCGCGCCACCGGACAAACCTCCTTGAATATGGCCAACTTATGGGACATTATCCCACGATGAATGTCCAACATATCCATTGTCGTCTAGGCAAACATGTTAATATTGACCTTCAACATTAACGTCAATGCCTGTTCGCGTCTCCAATCAAGTTGTTACCCAATTTGTTGTCTGGCCTTCTTGCTTCCCTAATACTAGTTGCTTGATCACGCCTTGTGGCTCTATACGATCTTCGGTTGGTCCTAGGGTCTAGAGAAGCGATGAAGATCGTCCCCCTATCGAAGGGAAACTTCATTGTCAGGTGAGACATGAAGACTATAACACCAAACACATCCAAGGCTTGTCGCCTGATCAAAACGTTATAAGAGGTGTTAGCCTCTACCAAGAGATACCTCACCTGCATCTCCTTGTTGTCCCATTTGGATCCCAGTCTCGTCCTCAAGTCCATGTAGCCTTGGGTGCCTATTCTTTCTCTCATGAAGCCCACTATCTGCTCATTGTACGACACAATGAGATCTTCTTATAAATCCATTTTGAGGAACGTTTTCCAGTAAAGGATGTTGACCAAACTTCCATGGTCGATCAACACCTTACTAACTCCATACCGAGTTATCTCAAACGTAATCATCACGGGATTATCTTGGTCAGGGTCAGGAGCCTTGAAGCCGCGAACGTGATTGATGGCATGGACTTCCATTTTCTATCCACCAAGAGGACAATCTTTAGGGCTCGAACGCAATGCTTGTGGGTTTACGATGAGGACCCACCTCCCACGAGTCCTCCTAAGATGGTGTTAGTGTGATTACACAACGGGCAGTCCCTACTTCTGCTTTAACTCTTGCTCCTATGCTTGGAGTCACGTTGTCGTTTGATCCTAGAGAAGTGACAAATACCCAAACAAATTAGTTCCTCAATTTTATTACGAAGGGTGATACAATCCTCCATGGTGTGTCCCATATTCTTGTGATAAAGATCGTATTTGTTAGTGTCAACCCCTAGGGGCATAACCCTCCCCTTTGAGGGGGAATCAAACAAGGCACTCAAAGCCTCTTCAATTATCTTGGTCCTGAGTGTGTTCAACTGTGTGTATTGATGGAAGTGTGACATGTTGGATATGTTTCTCAACTAAGACTCGTCCCCCTTGTTGTCGCCACTGTTCGACTTTTGGCCTTCCTTTTTCTCGCTCGTGGAAGCCTTTTGCGGCTTTTAGAGCTTGCGGAAGTCCCGTATGTCTTCAATCTGCATATACTTCATGGTTTTCTACCTCAACTCTTTCATGGTTTTAGCTGATGACGTATACAAGCTATCAGCAAACACCGAGTTATCACATGTGAGGGAAGACTCATGGCTAAGGTTCCGGATCTGTCGAGCAATTTTCCCAAATCAATCTATGAAATAGCGAAGGGACTCCTATTTTTCTTGCTTTAGGTTGACCAAGGTAAGAGTGGTCCAGTGGTTTGATCTACTCATGGAAAATTGCATGCTAACCAATGAGCGGATAGCTGCGAAGTTGTTAATGGAGTTGGGTGGTAGGGAATTGAGCCACGCTAACACATCTCCCTTGAGGGAAAGGGAGAACGTCATGCACCACATCAGATCGCTGGTGGTGTAGAAGGTCATCTAGTTGACTAACATCCTCAAGTGCTTGTTCGAGTTAATCAATCCATTATACTTCTTAAAGACTGAGGGAACCATAGGCATAGGGGTTTCCATGACGGTTGTTGTAAAAGGCAACAGATCAACCGTGTTCACTGTCTAAATGGACTGGTTCTCCCTGCTTGTTCCTATGATGTCCTCGTTGGTCATCCAACACGAGTCTTCTCTAAGCCTGGTTGGGGCAGATTGAAACTACTGTTGTTGTTGTTGTGTTGAGGCTCAAGGTACACACTATTAATGTTTTACTCCTAGAGCATGACCACATTTTTGGCCTTGAGAGCCGTAAGCTCCTCTTTAGACCTCCTATGCATCTCTTTCATCTGCCTCTGCATGTCTCTTATCATCTTTAGCTTGCTGAGATAATCATCTAATTCTTTTGCCACGATGTTAGATCATCATATTTCTTATAGTCACTATAAGGTTTGCTGGTTGTTGAATATTTGACCCCACAGTGGGTGCAAAAAGTGTTTTGTGTTGTAGAATTAAGGTTAGCGTTCAACGTCCAAAAAGTCGTCCAAATGTCTAAAAGCTATCTTCGCTCCATGTCTTTCGATAGTTGTTCGTCCAAACTTTTTTCAATCGTTTGTCCAAATTGTTCGAAGAGTAACTACAGAAGACATTCCAATACCAAAGTTAGCTCTTGAGAGTTCAAATATTAGTGATACAATAAATACAATGACTTAATTATATCACACCTATATTTATAGATTTTAAAATAAATTTGTAATTAATAATAATTTAATTACAGTTCAATTGTTGCTAATCATACTTTATCTCTGTTATTTTAATATATAATTAATTGCTTAGACAATTGACCAATTGGTCAAACTCCACGACCCTTCAATCCTAGTGATAATTTATCTCCGCGTTTTATTAATAGCTGATTATTAATAACTGACTTGACAATCATACAGTATAATTATCTTAATGTATAAGAGAGAGATGGGACTAGAAGTGACTTACGTATGAACCACCTTACCTAACTGCTTTCAAATAGATTCGAATTCATTCACTTCTAAACAAGCAATCAATATCTAGACCGCGGGTTCTAACTATCCAAATATTAGTATAAATTCTCCAAAAATTTAGGAAAAGTATTACAACTTTTGATTCAGTGATATTAATCAGTAATGTGAAGTACAAATGTGTTCTTAACCAAGGCCTGTTCCTACATCCTGTCGAGGAGCGTCAGCCTTAATGCGTGGCGGCCTGATAATTCGATCAACGAGTCCATATTCAACCGCTTCCTGTGCGTTGAAACGTTTCATCCTGCTCAGGTCAAGGGTAATCTGAAGAGATGCGTTCACTACAAATTAGTTTCCATGCCAACAAAACTCATGAAGGAAGGGACTAAATTACGCACAATCGAAAAAACGGATTTGAAATAGAAAACTGAAGGAGGCAAAGAACAATTGTTGGAAAAGGACAAGCACATCCTTGTTTAAAGGAGTATGTCAAAGAGTCTCTCTTGGACAATCTTTTGTTTGAGCACACTTCTAGAAGAGAAAAATAATAAAAAAAGATAAAAGTTCTTATGTTTAACTTTGGAAAAAGTTAATTTTAGCTTCCGGAAAATTTGAGTTTCGTTTTTTTTTTCTTTCTTTTTTCTCAAAATATTGCTTGTGGACAAATTTGTCCACACAAACCAAGAGTTGAATTTGACTTCATCAGCAAAGAAAAGCTACTGATTTTTCAATTCAAGACTTATTCTTGTCTTGCAGTAAGTTGAATAGTCGTGTTATTTAAACCAGCACAGACGTCACAAACTCATTTAACTCCATGAATTTCATTGTTGGATTAACTAACCTTCTCAACAGGCTGACCCGTTTTCTTAGCCAGCTCATTGAAAAGGTAACCTCTGATTCTGAGTAGTTCATTTGCTTCATTCTGAATGTCATCAGCCTGACAATTTTCATGAGGTTAGCATCAAAAGTAAAAAACAATCTCATTCATCATCTGGGAGGTGATATCTATGAAGACAAGACATACCTGTCCACGAGCAGCTCCAGCCGGAGATTGAAGGGCAATTCTAGATAGAGGCATTGTAGAACGATGACCCTAGATACAACAGAATTTCATGAAAAGATTAATAGATAGTCAGACCCATTTCAATGAATCAGTGAGCTCTACTCGATACAATGAGCTAAAGGCACAATTGTATGAATCAAATAGACTTGAAGGCCACAAACAACACAACAGAATGGAGCAGAAGGAGGGAGCTTAGGAGTCAAAATTTTGATAGTATTAATGACTGAAAGAGTAATTCAATGTTCATTACTATTTTTTTTTCCATTTTTTATCTAATTGTGTGATCCCAGTTCTGTATGGGAGATATCCTCGTTCTTAAGAAAGTACCACAAGTGTTATTGCTGAAAAAATGGCCATTCATGAAAGATAAATGATATGCTATAAATATAAACAGTAGTACATGTCAAGTACTAGCTAATGTTATCTTTTTCTTCTCCTTTGCTGCTTCAAATGTATATGATGTTAAGACTAATTTTAATCATATTAATGATGGGAGGGGACACAAATGAATCATGTATGATATAGAGACAAGTTTCCCTTACACGAGCCTAAAGTCCATATTGGATAATTTGTTTAATATTGGGAGTAGAAATTTCAAATCATATAAAGTCACCAGGATAGACTTGACTTTTACGAGTTTCATCAACAGATACTGATTATAGAGTACCTTTTCACCAGCAGCAAGGAGAAATGTTGCAAGATTATAAGCAAATCCAACACAGTGGGTGGCTACAGAACTTTGCAAACTCTGCATCGTGTCATAGATAGCCATGCTTGGTGTAAGCTGCAAAATTGGCAAGCTTAGGCAAGTTAAAAACCATGCCTAATTAACAAGATGAAGCAAGAAATAGAAGGATTTAATTGATTGATCATAGAACACTTAGTCACAAGGCTTACATCACCACCAGGACCATTTATGTACATATAGAGCTTCTTGGAGTTCTCTATACTGTCAAGATACAGCATGGTCGCCAATATTTGGTTACTAAATTCTTCATCTATCTCTTGTCCAATGAAGATAATACGTTCTCGATACTGCATCAATAATGAACTAGATTTTGTACTACTTTAAAAAAGAGATGAATACCTAAAGGAAACTTGAGGTTCACATATGAATCATGACCTATACCTAAGTGATACAAAAGAAAACCAGCATCTTTTGTATGTGTGAAGTGTCTAATTAGTAATATACACCAAGGACTAATGACTTACTAGGGCATTCCATATATCAACCCATTGCCAAGTTCCTTCACCAGGTGTCTTATAGGGGACTTTGGGAGTGCCTATGGGCATCATTCGAATACTTGCCCTTGATGGATTGTGTTTGGCATACCTGAAAACATGAAAAATATATAGTTTCCTTCAGTCTGTTTCAAACAATGCATAAAATTTGTGGCATACTCTTCTACAAAGTGTGACATATCATGCACCCCCAATTAGTGTAAACCATGTTGTATCCATACTTTTGCTAGTTCAAAGATTATTAAGAACGCTCTTCACAATTCACATTTGTATCGAGAAAATTAATTAAGAAATATTGATAGAATACCAATTGATATATTGAAGAACATGATTATCAAATCACAGAATACATATAAAATACAACAGAATTTGCTGTCCCAGAATCAAAGGCTCTGACATAGATGGGTTCTCTATCCAAATTACCAAAAAAGCAACTCACCAATCACCCTATATACCTATGACATACTTAAATAATTGCTCCAGACATTCTTTCCTTAACTGCCAACATGGCAGTGACTATTCAACAAATTCTAATAATACATAAACTCCTAATGATAGTTATATTGAATATATTTTAATATATAACAACTGCTTTTCCTTGCTGCTAATAACTATCCTAAATCTTGAAGGCCGAAAGTAGGAAACTGGCTCTTCCACATTATCTTTGTCCACTTCAAATAGAAATTACTTTGCCATCTTCACTTAGCTCTTATTATATCACAAAATTAACATTCTTAATTTCTTCTCTGCACATAAAATATAAGGGTTGAAACAAAGATGAATTGGAAAAGGAGAGTGAAGGATTACCGACACTGGAGAGTCTTGTGTACTTTCCCATAAAATTCAGCGGTTACATTAGGTTTTACCGCTCCAAAAGAACCTGCAATGGAAAACGATGAGCGGGCAGCAGAGAAATACAAAAATTGAAAGATAACAAGAAAAGGATGGAATGAGACACACTCGCCGATTGAAGTTTCAACCCGGAGTAGAGTTTTGTTGCAACGCTGAAACCGCAAAAAGAGATAACACAAGAAGCATTAGTTACATTATACAGTAAATTATATAATTTTGGAGGAGAAGGAGAGAGAACTGTGACCTAAAATTGGAAGAGGAAGATAGACGAGGCGCAGAACCGGTGGTGTAGGGTGCCACCGCCATGTTGAAGCGATTATGAGCGGATAGGGAACGCACTTTTGTGCCCCAAGAACCAGAAGAGAAAGGAGCTTCTTGCAAGAAGAATGAAGATGAATGGATATCAAAGACGATGTCGTTTGAATCCTCTTTATGCTAACTAGCAGTGAGTATCCCGTTTTGAAAATTTTTTAGGCTTAAATAAATGTTTGCTAATAATATTTTATTTAACTAAATAATTATTACAATTTTAAGCACCAATTTTTATTACACATTTTGTATCTCGTTGTAGTAGAAGATCTTTTCGGATTAACGTTTACATTTAAAGAGCAAAATCACTAGACTAAAATTTATATCAAAGTTATGTTTGTTATTAATTGATGGGGAAATAGATGTAACTAACATATAATCAAAAACATGTTAATAAAATTTGAAGAATGGTTTATAGAATATCTAAATAAAGTATGTGGATTAGATAAATTATCCAAATGAATATAACATTGTTTTTATGAAATTACTTTTAAAAGAAAAATTGTAGCAAGGTATTCTTTATATTAGACATGATGGAAAAATTAGTCATGTTATAAACTTTATCCTCAATAATATCTATGTATAAATAGATGTTTGTACCACAACCAATACAAGAAAAAACTTTTAGAGTAGAAATTCAAATTTTAATCAATAATAAATAATATTTAAAATCACATCAAATAAAAAATTAAATATGTCGAAGGTTTTGACTAAAGTCAAAAGTCGAGTTGGATAGACAAAATCAAAAGTTAAATTACTTAAGTTGATCGAATTAAGTGGACATGAATAGAAAGTTGATCCAAATCACTCAAGACAAAAGTTAAGCCATGTTAGTCTCTCACTAAAAATCAGACTCAAAAACATGTTTAATCTTTAAAAAAAGTTATATACATAAAAAGAAAAGATCTCTTTATATAATAATATAGATATATATTATAGAAACCATTAAATATTTGTGTACTTTAAATATAATAATTGTCGTAAAAAAACAACTTATTTTTGCTTTCTAGGTCAAGATTCGTTTCTTCTTTTAATCATGAATGAGGTTAAATTATAATTTTATTTTCTCTTTTTCAATAGTTATATTTTTAAAAATTAATTTGAATTCATTTTTAATTTTACATAAATTTTACTTTTTAAAATTTCGTTGAACTGAACCTAGATTTAGCATACTTATTTAAAGTATTATTAATAAATAATATACTTAATTAAAATGAATAATAAACATATAAAACATATTTAAAGAGAACTAAATTGCAAAATGATCGAAAATATAAATCTTTTAATTTTCTTTTCGTCACTTGTACCTTTCCATTTTTCCCTGGCAAAAACTTACCAATATGTGAAAAATATTTAATAAAATATAGTATTTAACAATTTCAATTTCTATGTGTTTTTAATATAAAAAATACAGTATTAATCTATTTAAAATTATTGTTAGTATAATTTCTAAGATAAATAATATGTTAGTTAAGGGATAATTTTTTTATATCATTACAATATATAATAGATAACCTTTTGCTTTAATATATAAATCATAGTTAAGGTTAATAATCTACAATGCACCAATTGAGATCACGTATCCACGTTCAAGATATTTTAGGATATTTTATTATAAGAAGAATCTAATTTATAAGATATTAAAAATTTTATAATGACAATAATTTATAATTTTAAAATAATATTTTTTATTTGAGTCTCAATTTTGTTCTTGTCTGTTTTTATTCTTAAAAATTAAATAAATATTAAAAAACTTACAACTAGTCATGCTTCATATTCAACCAGTTGACTCGTTATTTTTCTTATCTAAAGATTCCTAAATGCATCACGGATCTCACCGGTTCGATCAATATAAAAAGATAAAACACCATTTAAATCCCTAAAACTGTAATAGTAATTATTGATATTTTGTGTCTCTCACCGACCCCAAATAACCCAATAAAAAGAAACTGGTCTTCTAATGAATGTGAGTTTCTAAATAACTTTTAAGTTTAAGCGTACAGGCAAAGGTTATATAAGGCAAGATTTTGCAATTTGAATTTACTACAACAAGCATGAATCGAACAGAAAAATAAAACTGCTTTGAAGTGTGTTATACAGAACCAGATATTCTATTGGTCCATGTCCAACAATGAAACAAGCCACCATCTTATATGAGTCGTAATTAGTGCCCTCAAGCTGCATTGAGACTCCAGGAATCCTCCATAAAACAAGACATCAATCATCATGATCTTCCAAAGATGTGTAGATCATCCTGCACCAAAAACCATTAGTAAGAATAATAACTTAACAGCATTTCCTTTTAAAGAACATTGGCCCTTTCTCTGCTAGTCATCATACCAAAATAAGGATAGGAAAAGGATAAAAACAAGATAGAAGAGTTTGACAAGCCGTTGCTTCTTTTCCTTAGAGAGCAAGTTGAATATCTCTGTAACATCAACCAGATGTTTTCCTTGTCTATATCTGTTCAAAGGGAAAAAAAATATGTAATTAGCAACACCATGCTAAGCACATTCCAGAGCATACTAAGATAATAAGTATATTAAAGCATGAAAACAAGTCGTCCTTTAATCCCCCTCTAACTACAAGAAACCATTAACTAAACAAAAATGGTAGCTGGGACACACACAAATTCTACTAGGTGATTTCGATGACAAACTGATGCTGAACTCTACAACATGAAACTCCTTTATTTGACATGCAAGGGGCATCCAAGGTGCATAGACTGTCCTAAAGAACTCGGGTAAAGAGTAACTAAATTTTGGATACCAAATCATTCCCTTAAGTAACATGGAAGAGATTTAAGTAGCAAACAAATCTAAGAATGTAGCCTGATTATCAATTATATAAACGGATAAAGCAAGTTTCCCCTACTGAGTTCATTTTTGTGTGGTGAATCATGCCTACATCATTCCTTTGACTGATTTACAATATTAGGGATGTTAAGTGCTATTTTCGAGTTTGGTTCAGTTTGAGAATCAAACTCCATTAAATTATCCCTCACTAATCCTTAAAAGTTAGAAACCAAACTAAACTGCTTGTCCCATTTCATTTGGATTTACGAATTCCAACAAAAACTAAACCAACTATAATGATCTTTTACAATACATGTATTAAAGAATAATAACATAAAGTTCATAGTTCTACACCTAGATAGATAGTAGAAGATGGAGGATACAGAGCGAGATTCACAGAAGAAAAAAACAACTCGAGGCCTATTGACTTCTCATACAAGAGAAATTGACAATCACCCCCCAGCCCTTTTTTCCATTGAACAAATACCATGAAAAAGAATGAACAAACTTTCTATATGGTAAAAAATTTGGTTAACCGGTATGGTTTGATTCTCTTACACTCCTATACTTGAACGAAAGTGCAGAATAATGCAAAGAACCCAAAATCAAATCCAAACTACTCTTGAACAGAATATTACACTTCGTAACATATAGGCTGCTCAGCAACTCCATGAAGTGTAAACTGAACTTACATTATTATATCAATCAAATTGCCTTGTATCATGCCTGGCCAGTCACATTACTTCAATTCCAAAGAATGCAAAGATTAAAATTTTTAATTCAATCTGCCATCCACTCTTTGCGTACAGACATGGATTGTTTTCACTTAGATGTTTTCTTAAAGCCATTATACTCATTAACCGCTATATTGCATGAACGATAAACTTGGATTACTTCTAAATTTGATAGAAAACTTACAGTCTCACGTTGTAGTAGAGGTAAGGAGCGCAGAACAGTGACATTATCCAATGCCCTGTGACGAGGTAGAAGCCGCATAAAACACCTAGTATAATGTATTCAGGCAATACTACTTTGTTTATTCGAGATGAGGAATCATATGGATTTATATAATCAAATTCTAGGTCTGCTAGGCACATTAACTGCAACAAATGTTAAACATCACACCAGTCAGATTATACCAACAATAAGATGAAAGCACACCAAATTCATTAGACTCCTGGAGAACATATCAATGACAAAACACATTTTGGTGNTTAAAAAACTTACAACTAGTCATGCGTCATATTCAACCAGTTGACTCGTTATTTTTCTTATCTAAAGATTCCTAAATGCATCACGGATCTCACCGGTTCGATCAATATAAAAAGATAAAACACCATTTAAATCCCTAAAACTGTAATAGTAATTATTGATATTTTGTGTCTCTCACCGACCCCAAATAACCCAATAAAAAGAAACTGGTCTTCTAATGAATGTGAGTTTCTAAATAACTTTAAAGTTTAAGCGTACAGGCAAAGGTTATATAAGGCAAGATTTTGCAATTTGAATTTACTACAACAAGCATGAATCGAACAGAAAAATAAAACTGCTTTGAAGTGTGTTATACAGAACCAGATATTCTATTGGTCCATGTCCAACAATGAAACAAGCCACCATCTTATATGAGTCGTAATTAGCGCCCTCAAGCTGCATTGAGACTCCAGGAATCCTCCAAAAAACAAGACATCAATCATCATGATCTTCCAAAGATGTGTAGATCATCCTGCACCAAAAACCATTAGTAAGAATAATAACTTAACAGCATTTCCTTTTAAAGAACATTGGCCCTTTCTCTGCTAGTCATCATACCAAAATAAGGATAGGAAAAGGATAAAAACAAGATAGAAGAGTTTGACAAGCCGTTGCTTCTTTTCCTTAGAGAGCAAGTTGAATATCTCTGTAACATCAACCAGATGTTTTCCTTGTCTATATCTGTTCAAAGGGAAAAAAAATATGTAATTAGCAACACCATGCTAAGCACATTCCAGAGCATACTAAGATAATAAGTATATTAAAGCATGAAAACAAGTCGTCCTTTAATCCCCCTCTAACTACAAGAAACCATTAACTAAACAAAAATGGTAGCTGGGACACACACAAATCCTACTAGGTGATTTCGATGACAAACTGATGCTGAACTCTACAACAAGAAACTCCTTTATTTGACAAGCAAGGGGCATCCAAGGTGCATAGACTGTCCTAAAGAACTCGGGTAAAGAGTAACTAAATTTTGGATACCAAATCATTCCCTTAAGTAACATGGAAGAGATTTAAGTAGCAAACAAATCTAAGAATGTAGCCTGATTATCAATTATATAAACGGATAAAGCAAGTTTCCCCTACTGAGTTCATTTTTGTGTGGTGAATCATGCCTACATCATTCCTTTGACTGATTTACAATATTAGGGATGTTAAGTGCTATTTTCGAGTTTGGTTCAGTTTGAGAATCAAACTCCATTAAATTATCCCTCACTAATCCTTAAAAGTTAGAAACCAAACTAAACTGCTTGTCCCATTTCATTTGGATTTACGAATTCCAACAAAAACTAAACCAACTATAATGATCTTTTACAATACATGTATTAAAGAATAATAACATAAAGTTCATAGTTCTACACCTAGATAGATAGTAGAAGATGGAGGATACAGAGCGAGATTCACAGAAGAAAAAAACAACTCGAGGCCTATTGACTTCTCATACAAGAGAAATTGACAATCACCCCCCAGCCCTTTTTTCCAGTGAACAAATACCATGAAAAAGAATGAACAAACTTTCGATATGGTAAAAAATTTGGTTAACCGGTATGGTTTGATTCTCTTACACTCCTATACTTGAACGAAAGTGCAGAATAATGCAAAGAACCCAAAATCAAATCCAAACTACTCTTGAACAGAATATTACACTTCGTAACATATAGGCTGCTCAGCAACTCCATGAAGTGTAAACTGAACTTACATTATTATATCAATCAAATTGCCTTGTATCATGCCTGGCCAGTCACATTACTTCAATTCCAAAGAATGCAAAGATTAAAATTTTTAATTCAATCTGCCATCCACTCTTAGCGTACAGACATGGATTGTTTTCACTTAGATGTTTTCTTAAAGCCATTATACTCATTAACCGCTATATTGCATGAACGATAAACTTGGATTACTTCTAAATTTGATAGAAAACTTACAGTCTCACGTTGTAGTAGAGGTAAGGAGCGCAGAACAGTGACATTATCCAATGCCCTGTGACGAGGTAGAAGCCGCATAAAACACCTAGTATAATGTATTCAGGCAATACTACTTTGTTTATTCGAGATGAGGAATCATATGGATTTATATAATCAAATTCAAGGTCTGCCAGGCACATTAACTGCAACAAATGTTAAACATCACACCAGTCAGATTATACCAACAATAAGATGAAAGCACACCAAATTCATTAGACTCCTGGAGAACATATCAATGACAAAACACATTTTGGTGGTAATAACACTTAACAATCTTCAGAAGCAGAAACATAAAAGTAACAAAACATGACATAAAGTTAGATGAGGCTCCTAACTTCTGGAATATACAATTGATCAAGTGAAGACGTGAACACATAAAACATCAGAAAACTAGTAGATAGACCTCTTTCCAAAATTATAATACGCACATATGTAATGTAACCTAACCATACAAGCATCAATCTTTGACCCCCCACGGTTTAATTAAAATTGAATGTTCATATATTTGTTAATTGAGTATCATAAAAACTCTGACATATTCATTTTGTTCGTTGATGTACATCTTCTGAGGAAATACTCGACCAAGACCCTTACCTATAAAAATGTTGCGAAACTTTTTACACCGCATAAGAACCCGTATGCACATAATTTTCATCTCAAGTGTATTCGATTGAAATTGGTAAGTATTTTTTTTCCTCGACTTTTTTAAAATACGAATTGACTTCATACTCTTATTACCTATAGCAATCAAAGCTACACGTGGAACAATCAAGCATACACCCTGTTGAATGTTTGAACTAAAGAACCAATTTTTGGATGATGGGGCGCTTTAAATTGCTCTGAAGTTGACTTTAACAAGATATTGAAAAGGAAAAAAAAAAAACACAATCAAAAAGTATGAGTTAGGGCTTTTGGGATTGACCTGGTAAATGACGAGTACAATTAAGGCAATAAGGATAAAGAAGGAGATGAGCCACGCAAATATATCAGCCATGCTCCCTCCCTTCTCCTCTTTCTCTGGTTTTCGATTTCAGTTGCAGCACAACGCGTTCGAAACATGCGATGTTAATTGACACGATGGCAGTAGAAAGAGCTCGGACGCAGGGTGCACCTCACGAGAAGGAATACAGTAAAGAAACCTCGAAGGGTTTGGATTCGGCAGACAGACAAACACTCGGAGAAGCTAAGAATCGTGTGCCAACTTCACCATTTAAGGGTCCTTGCCAGTCCAACCGGGAAAAGAAAGGAAACAGTAAACCCTTTTATAAAGAATAAAAACTGAAAATAAAATCTTCATCTTTAATTTAAGTCAGGGCAATACAAATATTTTTACAATAACTTTAATTAGATTTAAAATACGTAATAAAATAATAAATAAATAACAAATCGGTGAAAAAAATAATACTTGAATTATATCAAAATATTATAAAAATTAGATTTAATATTTTGTATTAGGAAATTGGACGAAATCACTTACCTGATTACTTATTTGAAAGAATATATTTAAGGTTAAACCTCTTTTTTCCTATTTATATAGATTTTTTCCAGTTCGATAATTGTTATTTTATAAATTCCAATTGAGTCCTAGATAGTGTTAATTTGAATCAATTAGATCCTTATTGTTAAATTTGACTTAACGAAACTAAGTTTTTCTGAGATTGGAAGTTGATGTGACAAGTTTTTTAAACTTAAGCATTCACAGAGCTCTACGTGGAATTTAAAAACATTTTAACATTTTGATTAAAAAATAAAATAAAAAAGTCATCTTCCGTTAAAATCAAGCACCATCCAGAACTAGAGAACCCAATCGCGCAGAACCATCATCATCTTCCTCGTGCACCATCAACCTGCAATCAAGTAACCACAAAATCAAAATTGTGACTTTGCCATGTTCACTTTATTTCATCTCCTTCCATCCAGCACCACAAAGGCAAATCGCCACCATGGCCAACGTAACCAGTGCTTAAGCTCTTCGCACGCAACCGAACTCATCATCATCTATCTTCTTCTCCATTAAACCATTTGAAACTTGTAAATAGAAAACAGAATCACAAGTCTAAAAACCCCCAAATTAGTCACGAACCCTAAATCACGCTAGACACCAAAAACCAAACTTTCGAATCTTCATAAAACCAATTTCAATTCAAAGTCTACAATTGAAACCCCTAGAGAAGGTAGAAACCAAAACCACTGACAGCGTTAGGGTGAACCAGTCGGAGATCGAGATTCGGCGCCGCCTAAAGCTTCGCCGGCTCCTCCACCCACTATTGTAACCTCACCTCGCTCAAAAACTTGGAGTTATCAAAAAATGGTTTGTATGGAAATATCCCAAATAGCATTTCAGGTCTGAAAAACGTTGAACAAATTGAACTATTTGAAAACCAGCTTTCCAGTGAATTACCTTAAGGTTTAGGAAACCTCAATAGTTTAATTCTCTTGGACCTCTCTGAGAACACTCTCACAGGGGTTGCTTTTGGTACAACTCCAAAAGGTCTCTTAACAATGGAGATATGTTATGTGTATATAAACTCATGTTCATCTCTTATTTTATCCGATGTGGGACTTTGTTTGTATCCAACAGCCTCCCCTCAAACAAAGGACCACCTCCCCTACAATGGAAGTCGATAAGATATCTCCACATACACATAGATATCTCCACATTGATAAGATATTGTTTGCTTTGGGCCAAGCCCTCACGGATTTGCTTTTGGTACCACTCCAAAAGGCCTCAAAACAATGGAGATATGTTATGTGTATATAAACCTATGTTCATCTCTTATTTTATCCGATGTGGGACTTTGTTTGTACCCAACAACTACCACATGCAATAACCTCTTTGCGTCTCTATTCTCTCAACCTAAATGACAACCTTCTCGGAGGGGAATTCCTGAAACTTTAGCTTCAAATCCCAACCTGCATC